CAAGAGCAGGGAAAGGTGCTGTGACTTGTAGAGAGAGGCACTGGCGAGGGGGCCCTCAGTAGGCAGAAGGACAGGACCAGAACTCGTCCGGCAGAATCAAGGTTCTTTTCAGAGAGCAGAGGAGTCCAAATCCAATGCCCAGCACAAGGTGTGACTCTGGGTGAGCTGTGCAAGGCGGATGGCATCTTCCATGGGACAGGAACCATGAGAGTCGTAGCTGTGAAGTAAGGCAATGAAGTAAGAACCACTCTTCCACAGATCCATTGAAGATGACTTGAAGTGGGTGTTCCAGGTACCAATTCTTGCCCATTAAAATAGCTCATATTTATTGGAATTGTGACATTACACCTTTTTCTCTATGCAAAATAAGATCTACCTCATGAATGAAACCAGATGATGAATATAAACAGGCCAGATAGGGCTGGCACTGGGCACATAGTAAACATGCGGTAAACATTACCCACAATTATTATTGTTTATTACTCACTAGTAGTACCTCAGCACTTACCTGTCTCATTCTCACTAAATTCTTCCATGTAGCCAGGGGAGATGCGTATATAATTGCCTGCCACATTTTTCTCTTCCAGTGTCCCCCAAGTTGTCCTGTCCTTCTCAGAGTCTTCGAGGGCCCAGGGACAGACATTGCCAATGTGGTAGCTACCATTCATAGAGCTGTCACTATAGGCAGGTGCTAGGCTGAGACCTTTTGTACATTCTCAGTGATCAGACACCATTAATATGTTTGTTTCTTCTCTACTTTGCAGATAAGGAAATTAAGGCTCAGAAGTGACCAGATAGGGTCCCTCAGTGAGCAAGCACAGAGCTAAGGTTCAATCTCCTGCCTGCTGAGCCCGGATGTCCTTTGAGACAAAAAAAGAAAAGAAAATCACAATGAAAGCCTCTGTCCAGACCCTTCAAAAAGCACCTGAGTCTAAAAATAAAAGGGGCTTCAAAGTTAGGTCTGACCCCGCACAAGGAGAGCTGGCAGTTCTTAAGGAGCCTCCTGGAGTCAACTCTGAGTCCCAAAATGTCCTCTAACCTCAAAGGGACCCTTTGTCCCCCATGGGGCAGTGGCTGGTGGCAGCATAATGTACTGGGGTTACTTTGACTGTGGCCATGTGGTGTGAGGAAGCCCCCACCCCTTTCCGGCCTCTTTGTCCCACTGAATGCTCCATCTGTGAGCCCCCTCACAAGGCCCTGCTGGTCTTGACTCTGAGGTGAAGGAGTAAACATCCTGGGGCTCTTTATTAGTTTATTTCAGAAGATGGAGCCTGTTTGTCCCTGGGGCCCTTCCCTTTTTTATGGCCTCCAGCCCTTCTTGACAAATTCTAGTGACTGGAGAGAAAACCGCTTTCTACAGCAGATCATTAAAACACCACCATAAACCCAGGGGCAATAAAACATTATTTGCCAAGCATAAAAGAAGGGTAGATTTTCCCAGAATGACAAGCCAGGCCCCGCTTCCTCCTGCTGGGAAAGGCGGCACAAGGGTGCAATCCTTCCTAAATTCCTTATCTTGCACTCTGCTTTGTGAAATAACCCTGTTGGTTGGGAGAACCGCCAAAAATATCGATTTATTTGTTCCACAGACTCAAAAGCATTTTTAATGAGTGGAGCACGGTGCTGCCCTGCCAGTGTATCTTCAGATGACTCAATCAGAGAGCACACACCGTCTTGTATACAGTTTGCAAGGGGAGGTCTGGCGTTCCACTTACTGGAGCACATCAGTCAGGAAACATCCCAGATGGAGGCAACCACTTCCCCTCCCAACTGTCTGGCCCCTTCCCAATCAACACCCACAGAGGCACTGGTCCTTAACATGGAGCCCAGCATCCTGGGGTAGCCTCTCCCTTTAACCCCCACTGGAGGCTCAGTGGGGATTCCAGTCCATTCCTCTCTACATCAGCCTCTGAAATAATTCCTCAACCTATTCACCTATTCATTCATTCACTCATTCATTCATTCACTATTGAGCACCTCCTAGATGAGGGTCATTGTGCTGATAACTGGGGTCACAGCCTTGGAAAACACAGATGAAGTCCTGCTGACACGGAGCCTGTTGCCGCGTCATTTCAGCACACCTGTTGTTCGTATCTGCAAATAAAATTCACATTTCTTATCTATTTATGTATTTGGTACAGGGTCTCGCTATGGATCTCTGACTCATAGTGATCCTTCTGTTTTCAGCCTCCCCAGTGCTGAGATTACAGCCATGCGCCACCACGCCCAGACTCTGTCACTGGATTAGCGTGCCTGGGGATGGGGCCAGCATGGCATGCTAGACCAGGGTTCAAACCCTGGTCCCTGAGCTTGCCAAAGCAGGTACTTAGTTCACTGAGCTATCTCACCGGCCCCCTTGGGACCAGATAGGTTCACTGGAAAATTTGAATTTTTGCAAGTTAAAATGAGGTCTGCAGAAGTACCCAGAAAACAAATATGTTCATATTTCTTCAGTGAAAAGTTGGAATATTCACTACAAATGGTCTTGGAAGGAGTTGAAAACCTGTTTCTGGAGCTGCTTTATCTAGAAGAGGCAGGGTCATTCATGGCCGCGAGGGAGGATTTTTATCCTGTCCTCATTTCCAAGGTGGTCACACTTCATTCTCGTGTTCGCTGATTGCTATATGCAGGTGCTTAAAAAGACTGGGAGGTGCCGAGATGTCTTATGCCTTATCCACAACTAGAAAGTGGCAGTTCTTGTACAGCAATTAACCACTAAGAAGAATATATGCAGTGTATTATTTGTTGAAACTGTACTTTCGATTTGATTTGAAACTGTCTCATTGCTATATGTTTATCAATAAAACTTTGAAAAGAAAAAAAAAGTGGCAGGGCAGGGACTAGAACTGGAAACTGGAGTTGGCACTCCTCACCACTAGCGGACAACATGTTCGACCAGGAGAATCACTGAGGAGAACTCTTGGGGTTGTATCTGACTCAAAAACAGCTGAACCAGAGAAGCAGGCGATTATGTCCATAATTCAGAAAACAGCATTTTAAAAAATGGTTTGTAGTTGGCTAACTCATGTTTCTCAACTAGCTATAGATGGACTCAATTCTCAGGTTGATGGGCTTGCTTTTTACGGAGTGGGCTCATCTCCCTGAATGCCACTGGACTCCAGGGTACTCTGCCGGCTGGCAGGTTCTGCGCCCTGTTGGAGCTCCAGCCCAAGCCAGCCACTTCCTGCCGCACATGCTGCGACATGCTGCCTGAGTCCTCTTAGATCCATGGCCCCATGGCAAAGCTGGAGTGCTTACCCAGTGGACATTTGGGCTCGAACGGCCAGGGGAATCTCAGGGGGCAGCCACTGGGCAAGATAACTGGGGGAGAGAAGGAAGAGTGGAGGGCTACTCCTTGGGGCGATTCATCAGGTGCAGAGGTATCCTCTCTTTTTGTATCTTAGCCTCCTTTGCCTCGGGTGGCAGAATTGAAGCACATGGTAGAACTGTAAAGCGCTCAAGGGTCGCTAGGTGGTCAAAGCCCAGAGAGGGTTAGAGGAAAGAGGACTCAGGAGGTTGGGGGTTGGTGAGGGGGATGGGCGGGGTATCCCGAGGAGCTTTGAGAGCGGGGTCTTTCTGTCCTTAAGGCTCCCTGTGCCTTTGGAGAAGGAACAAGGCCCAATGCACGGGCATCCATCTTTTACACTCTGTGGAAAACTCCAAAGGCCGTCTTTGCACTGCAAGCCAAGGAGGTCCGAGGTAGGGGCGCTCGCAGTGTTGGGGAGGACAATAAGGGACGGGAAGAGGCCGCACAGCGTGGGGCCAAGTCGCTGGAGGCTCCGCCCGCGCGCCCAGAGGGTGGTCAGCCCGGGGAGGCAGTGGGGGGGGGGGCAGAGCAACTCAAACCATTGTCACCCCGAAGTACTCAGGTCACAGATTTTGTCCCTTAAGGTCAAGTGCATGACAACGGATGGTACTGAATATTAGTGCGCGCGCGCGCGCGAGAGAGAGAGAGAGAGAGAGAGAGAGAGAGAAAGAGAGAGAGAGAGAGAGAGAGAGAGAGAGTGTGTGTGTGTGTGTGTGTGTGTGTGTGTGTATACGTGTGTGTGTCTTTCACCTTCAACAGCCGGAGGACAGGAACAACGCAGAAAACGAACTGCGCTGCGGGGAGGCACTGTTTCGAGGTGCCGCCCCTAGCGAACAGGAATGAGGCCCCCCCCCCTCCAGCGCTGCGGAATCCCGGCGACCCCGGCATCTGGAAGCGTGTAGAAGTTTCGGAGCCCGGACCCGGTTTGGCCGAACTTCGCAGCCTTCTCACCTGAAAGCCCGCACCTAGACACGCGCGACAGGAACATGCGTCGCGCCTGGCGGTGCTGGGTCACAGCCGGGCGCTCAGGGCAGCCACCCGGACTCCTTCACCCCGGGGTCCGCAGGACGTGCGCGCCCACCCAGTCCTCAGCCCTGGGGCTTTGGTACTCTCCCCCGGACGCAAGGACGAGAAGTCTCCCATGGGGTTCCCTGTCTGGACACAATCTCTGTGGAGCCCCAGTGGCAACATTTTGGGATAAGCAAGCCAAGGGGTTCAGTTCGGAAAGTTGGGGTTCAGCCTCTCGCGGTCGGCAGCATTGAAAGCTCAGCCAGGCGGCGGGCAGGCTGCGGCTGCGGAGCGGACCTTTCTCTTTCAACAGATGCCTGGGGGATGGGGAGCCCAGAGAAAGAGGCCCCAAGGGGGGTACCCCGCCTCCCAGCACCCCAGCCCGTAGTACGGCTTTAAAATCCTGCGGAGTTTGTCATAGGCCGGCCACTGCACGCATGCGCAGAACACCGTTGAGCAACTCCCCCCCCCACCCGCTTTTGGTTTTGCAACTTTAAATTTTCTTTTTTCTTCTTCTTGTTCTCTCTCCCTCTTCTCTCTCTCGCTCTCTCTCTCTCTCTTTTTTTTTCGGCCCAGAACACTCGGAGAAAGAGGAGTCCGGAGAGAGTGTGGGAGAGGAGGCAGTTGGCCGGCAGTGGGCCAGGAGGGCCGGGGGGTGGGGTGGGGGGGACACGGTCCCCGAGTTCGGTCAGTCGGTCTGCGGCGTGCAGGATCGCGTGGAAAACTGCGGTGGGCTCCCCGGAGCCGGGCACCGCGCGACCACTGCCCAACGAGCTCCCTCCTCGCCGCGGCTCGCCCTCCCCGCGGACCCCGCACGGAGCAGGAGGTGGGCGGCCTCGAGGGCCATGGACTGCCGGGGCTGAGTCGCCACGGAGCCCCGGGCCCGCCCTTGCGCCCTTGCGCCCCTGCGCCTTTGCTCCGGACAGGGACGAAAGAACAGTGGGACAATAACCCGAAAAAAGAAGGGGGTGAGACGGAGAAGGCCAGCGTCTCTCAGGGCAGCTACCCATCGCCTCCTTCACCTACCCGCAGGAGCAAGTTGAGGACCGACTTTCACTCATTTTGCGAGCCCACTTTTGCTAGACCCTAAAATGAAAGGACAGAATTTGGCGCTGACCCTTGCAGCTCTGCTGGCGACTGGTGCGTTTTCAGTGGCATCGCCCGGAGAAAAACCCCTACGCTCCTGATTGTTCGGTGGCCCCAGCGCTGCAGCGTGTGTGTGTGTGTGTGTGTGTGTGTGTGTGTGTGTGTGTGTGTGTGTGTGTGTGTGTACAGACATCCGCACACGAACTCGCGGCCGCAGGATCAGTCCCGGGAAGCAGACGCTTCGGCCACAGACCTGGAGAGGAGGAGCTGCAGAGCGGGAGGCGTGAGCCGCCAGGAGTTTGCAGAGTCCGTAGTGTGAATGAACTGGGGCACCTGGGCGCGGGGAGCGCCCCCCCCCTTCCCCGCCTCAGGCCAGAGTTAAGTAGTGGGGCATTTTTTTCACCCTCTTGTGAAGAATTTTTTTTTTTTTTTATTTGTTGTAAAGTCTTTTGCACAATCACGCCCACATTTGGGGTTGGAAAGCCCTAATTACCGCCGTCGCTGATGGACGTTGGAGAGGGAGCGCCTCGCCGCGGAGCAGTCGCCTGTGCGCCCTCGCCGGACCCGCTGCTCCCGCCGTGCGCCCCAGCGCCGCCGGGTCTTCGCTGCTCGCCCGAGCATCTGGGCGCCCGCTCGCTTCCCTGGCCTGTCTCGGCGCGGCCCCAGCCTGGGAGCCCCAGCCTGGGCGCCAGCGCCTGCTTCGGCTCCGGGTCACTGCGCCCACCAGGAGCGCCCAGGAGGACTCCGCCGCCCTGCTCGCGATAGTCTCCTCCCTGGTTCAACCCCGCCGCTCCGCTCGGATTCCTCGGCTGCCCTCGCCGGGGTGGCGACTTCCTCCCCGCCCCCTCCCCCTCGCCATGAAGGTAGGTGTTCGGGGCGCCGCCGGCGTTCGCCACTTTCTTTTTTCTAGAAGTCAACCGAGCTAGCTCTCCTTTTTTCTAGAAGTCAACCGAGCTAGCTCTCCCTACCCCTCGTCATCTCCGACCCCTCCAGAGGCTGAGCCCCTGCGCAGCTGGCAGGGACCCTTACATCTTCACTTCTGCCCCCCACCCCCACCCCCTCATAGTCTCGGCGTCCCGGGAGACGCCTCTCCTCACACCAGCCATTCTGCGAACCTTTTGGACCCTGTAGGAAAAGTGGGGAAGAGCGATGGCAGAAACCCATAGTGCGGTTCATAGAAGGCTTTCCTTTTACCCCGAGAACCTCGAGTGTAATTTACTGTGTATTTTCAGTAACAGGATAGTGATTCAATTCAACAAATATTTATCAGGCGCCCACTGCGCAGGCACCCGGAGAGCGTGAGGCCGGGGCTGGTAAAGGGGTAGAAGGAATCTGTGGTTCCGAGACCCGGCTGCGGGGTTGGGGCCGCTGACCCCCGGGCGGCGCCCTCCCCAGCCCCACCCAGCCCCACCCCCATCCTCATCCCAACGCCTGACCCGGCCGCCTTGCGAGCCCCTCTGGCCAAAACCTGGAGTGATTTTGTGCCCTGTACCTTTAAGAGTGCTTGGCGGGGGGCCAACGGGCACCCCAGCTTGGAGAGCGGGGTCGCGTTATTAGCATTATTAGCCGCCGCGGGGTGAACTCGGGCACTTTGCATTGGTGGTGGGGGCGGGGAGTTGTGGTCCGGGTGGCTCTAATCCCGGCCGGCGCAGAGAGCGAGCGCGTTCGACCCTCTGAGCCGAGCCTGCCTAGTTCTTTAGAAACTCTCGGGCCTCCGCGTGGGGCTAGCAGGCGGGGGACAGTCACTGAACTCGTGTTTGTTTTAATTGTCAGTTGTATGTTAAAGTTACACACCCAGGGGTCACGGAGAGTTCACTTTTACGAAAAGTTAACTTTTTCCCCTTGCTGTATAACTTGCTATTTTCCAAACAGTCTCTACTCCCTCCGCCTTCCAAGTTTAGACCCTTATTTCCATTTTTCTTGGTCGTTCCCATTTTCTGATTCCTGGGGAATAAGGTTAGAATGGGTATTAAGATATTTCCTGAAAGCAAACAGTCTCCCTCCTCAAGTGGCGAGGGTAGCTTTAAAAAAGTCCAGCAGAAAGGCTGTGTTTTCTTTCCAATCTTAGGAGCCACTTCTCTCCCGTCTTTCTTTAAAGGACAGCTTGCTGTTGGGAGGTGACTTGGGCCCTGCAAAGCGACTGCAACTCGTCAGTCCTGCGCTTCCCCCAACGCGCAAACGCCGGCTGCGGAAAACGCTGGAGATTTGGTTTCTAGATGTCCTCGACAAGGGAGCTTTAAGGGGTCCAATGCTGCTAGGGGCGCTCAGAGAGCTAGGGCAGGCTCTCTGTGCGTGGGCGTGTGTGTGGGGGCAAAGGATCAGTAGTCGTCAGGTCCTAAGATACTAGCCTTAGTTTTTCTTCCTCACGTGTCCTCAGGAAAGACCTTCTCTAGGAGGCCCAGCCTGAGTGGCCCGCAACCTCCTCCAGTCCCCAGGGCACTCGGGTACGGGAGGGGTTTGTGTCCTGAGCGCAGAACTCCGAGCGGTACCCGCTGGCTTTTCTCCCCCGCTGTGCGGTGCCGGCTGCCCCCTGTTGGCCGTGTGGAGGTAGAGCTCCGCCAAGCTCTGAGCCCCTGAGGGGCCGGCTACTCTTCTGGTTCCCTTCTTTGCATCCCTAATCCTCTGAACCACTGCACCTCCTCGCCTAAGCATAGCCCCTCGGGGACCCCTAGAGGACGAGTGCCTTGAGTGGCTGCTGGAAGAAGGGAGCTGTGGGTCTAAGGCAGCAAAAGGGGCTCAGACCCCTGGACGAAAGGAAGGGATGCTACCTTCTGTGGAAGTAGGAGGGAGAGTACTCTCTTAGAAGGCCTCTGGTGTGGCCTCAGTTGTCTCAGTCTCTTTGTGGCCCCAGACACGTATTTTCCCTCTCGTGGCCTTAGATTCTTATCTAGTCTAAACGTCAGCGATTGGACTTATTTTCAGTGTTCTTTCTTCCTCCACGGACTCTGCGCACCTCTGGACAGAGTGGCGCTTTCCCAGAGAGTCAGATCTCCTGTGTGACAAAGTGTAAGTGGTGTGTGTGTGTGTGTGTGTGTGTGTGTGTTAGTGCAAGGCGATGTGGCCAGGAAGCAGGAGGACCACAGAGATCATGCTTCCCGCAGAGCCTCGCTGTTCCCGGATCTGCTGTCTGTTCTGAGGTCCAGGCATCCGAAGGTGGACGTGGACCTTGCGCAGATTTGGTCTCCAGGAGCAATATCTGTCTTCTTTTGCGCAGTTCTCTCCCCCGCCCAACCCCTCGGTGCTTGCGCGCGCACACAGACACGCAGCACTGTGGACACACGTACCCGCGCAGGGCTGGCTGTAGCTCCCAGGCGCACAGTCTCCAGGCATGGGTAGCAATGCCTGGAGCAATGCCTGGAGACTGCTCCCCGAGACCTTTGTCTGCTCCCCGAGAATGGACCTCCTGCTAGCCTTGGCTGGCCCGTTCTTTATCCCTTTCGCTTTTCTCGCAGCTTTTCTGGGCATCCCGTTCTTCTCTGCCAATGTCCGTGGGCCGCCGCAGGTTTCTCCGTCTCTCCCCTTGCTTTAGGAAGAGATCAGATTGAGAGAAATAAGTTTTGTTTTGTTTTGTTCTTTCCCCAAGAGCAGAGATTTTTCTTGGAGTTGCCATCCTTTTTGTCCCCGAGAGCCCTGGTCAAATTCATTTCTTCCGCTTAGTTGGTGTCCCTCCTCATTTCAATCTGCAGACTTGGGCTGTCCATGTAGAGTTCAGCAGAAAAGAGACACCGAGACCGAGGGAGGGAGGCAGGACCAGCGACCAAGAGTCCAAGGTTTTGCTGAGCCTTGTCGACGTTTCTGTTAAGGGACTGCCTGTGTGTTGGGTGCTGTGCGGGCTTCCCCAGCCACGAAACATCTGATCTAAGCACCTTTCCTCAACAGATTGTCCTTTCTCTTACAGTCAGTCACCTAGGCCAACACCGTTAGTTGATGTCTTTAATCCCACGCAAAAGCTATGGGGGAAATTTTAAGGGGACACGGCTTGGAGTTGGTCTAGGTTGGAGACTGAGACGACCCAACGCCCTTCCTTCTCCTCACCCCAGTCCTGCACTGAGCCTCTCAGCTGCCCCCTGCCCTCCTCTTCGGAGCACGCGAGTAACAGATTCCCAGGGGCCTTTCAGAGTGAACTCCTTGGGCCCTTGTTGGAAAATATTTCGTTCATTCTTTGGAAACTAAACTTCTGACCAGAACTTTGTTTTAGCCCTGGTGTGACAGTCTCCAGAGAGGAGAGGTTTCATTTCGTACTGTCTTTTCGGATCAGATCTTTGGTAAACAGATAGGGATGTTATACCCTACAAAGTGGATGCATTTATTACTAAGCTCGTTGTGGGTTTTCTCAGAGTCTCTCAAACATGTGGGGCCTTTTCTGGGTTGCGACGGGATTGGAGCGGGAAGAAGGCCAAGGTGTTTCCGGGCAAACGCGCGAGGTTAAGTGGAGACGCTACTCGCGGGGTTCTCCGGCCGGTGCCACTGGGACGCCCCGCCTCCTCTACCCTGGAGTTGGGCAGACCGGACGACTGGACTCCCAGTTGGGCCCTGCTCTAAGGAATGTGGCCTTTCCCCAGGAGCGTCCAGCCGGGAGAGGGTTCGGTTTGTGTGGCTTCGGCTCTAACAAAGAGATCCGCTGTAATCCTCCGAATCTGTTATCAATTTCTTGGCTGCCCGGGCCCCGCCCCGCGCCCCGCCCGCGGCAGACCTCAGCAAGTGCCCGCAGTCGGCGACGATCTGGGCCGCCGGCTCCTAAGCACGTCGGAACGAACCTGTGTATCTGTGCACGCCCGTGAGTGTGTAAATGTGCAAGAGGGTGTGTGTGTGTGACTGTTTGCGCGCGCGTGAGGCTCCGGCCGCCGCTGGGGAGAGTCGACTTCGCAGCCGGGCTGCGCGCCGCAGACCTCGCTGCCCACCCCCGCCCCTGGAAGAAACTTGACACTTCGGGCGGGGGTGGGGAGCGAGACTGAGCCCTAGCTCTCCCGGGCTGGGGAAACCCCAGACTCCCATTCTCCAGGATGCGCCCCTAGCTTTGCGGTGCTTTGCGGACGACAGGGCCCGGGCGTGCAGCCCTGCTTGGCTGGCGCAGAGGACCACATAAGCGTGGCCTCTCCTCGAGCCCCGAAGGTGTCCCGGCCCGAGAGGCGGCGCGCAGCAAACAGCCGCGGCGCGCTCCAGAACTCTGGAGCGTTTCCGCGGTTGCCTGGGACCCTCGATCGCGTAGCGCTGGTCCCAGGCCGGGCCCTTCCGCCGCCTGGAGGAGGCTCACCTTTCTTTCCAGAGGAGGGATCTCCCTCGGGGGCTGCGGGCGGTGCCGAGTCCAGCCGAGCCGCAGACTTATACTTAGAGAGATATGAAAGGGGAATTTGGAAACCCGCTCTTCCCACCCGCTCTCGCCTCCCCCGTCGCCGCCTGCAGGTGGAGAAGTCACCAGTGGGGAGGAACGGCGCGGAAACCTCCGAGGCCGACTCCTGGCCCTGGACTTCTCCAGGAAGGGACCCTACGCCGCTGGCCTCCTGGGTGCTGCGTTCCAGGAGTGCAGCTGCGGCTCCCGAGCCGGCGCATCTTTGGCTCCGTCGGGAAACTCATCCTTGTCACGCCCGCGCCCCTGTCTTTCGGAACTGACCGAAATGGGTCTGAGTGGGGCGGGAGAGGCGAGGCTGGCGGCGCGTGGCAGTGCTCCAAGGCCCGGCTCGCAGCGCCGCGCTCGCACAGCGGGCGACAACTCCAAACCAGGAGCAGGAGAAAATCGAAAATCGAGTGCTTTGGGGCTTCTCGTCCCCGAGTTCCTCGGCACTGCCACGCGTGGGGACCAGACCGAGCGAAAACTCTGAATCTGGGGGGAGGTTGGAGAAGGGCGGGGAAAGGCTTTCCTCCTAGAGCGTCCCAGATGCCCCTTCTTCCCTCTGGGGCTCCATCTCTTCCCGGTGGGTCCGAGAAGGAGGCCGCAGGCAGGAGGGGGCACTCTTTTCCGGTTTCCTTGGTTAGGAGAACAGCCCTCTCTTCCATTTATCCCCTCCCTCCACACCCCTTCCCCTCCTCTCCGCCCCAGTCCGGCCGAAGCTTGTCCTAAAGGAAAGCTGGGCTGCTCTAACCCATCTGGAAGTGGCTTCCCCCAAATCGGCCCGTAAACTGATTACGAAACATACGATGTTAATTCGGACCCGCATTTCCCAGCTGGGCCTCGGCGCGCGCGTCCCCCGGGCCTCGCCCCCCACCCTTGCCCTTCCCTCCCGTCCTGCCCCCACCCCCACCCGCGCGGCCACCCCGCCTCCTCCGCCGCCGCCGGCGCGCCGCACTCGCCTTCGCGCTCCTCTTGCCCTTGGAATTAATGCTGGCTCCACTTGTTGCTTGGCCCAGGTCGGGGAGAGGACGAGGGTGGCGGCGGGTTCCCGGAGTGAATTCCTGGGGAGGGACGGAGTGCAGCGAGGGGGTGCGGGACGCCAGCGTGCAGGAAGGAGGCAGCGCCTGGCACCGGGGCTTTGACTCAACAGCATTGAGACATGTTTGTAATCGCTGGCGCGCCCCGCGCGCAGGACCCCAGCGAAATCAGATTTCCTGGTGAGGTTGCGTGGGTGGATTGATTTGGAGAAAGAAACTGCCTATATCTTGCCATCAAAAAACTCACCGAGGAGAAGTGCAGTCAATCAACAGTAAACTTAAGAGACCCCGGATGCTTCCGTTGTTTAAACTTGTAAGCTTCAAAATTATCTGAGAGGCAATAAACATCTGCTCCTTTCTTCCTTCTCCAGAAGTCCATTGGAATATTAGGCCCCGGAGTGGCTTTGGGGACGGCTGGAAGTGCAATGTCTTCCAAATTCTTCCTAATGGCTTTAGCCATATTTTTCTCCTTTGCCCAGGTTGTAATAGAAGCCAATTCTTGGTGGTAAGTTCATTCTATGTACATATTTTATTTTATTTTTTTTAAAAAGAGTCGTTTGTATGATGCTGCCATGTGAGTTTGGGTGCATTTCTGGGATGAGTATGTGTATAGTATATTTTTATCTATGCGTATTTGAAGTCAGGATTTTCTTCTAACTTGCTAACATTGTAAAGCTTATCTTTGGTTCCATAGGGAATTGGAACCTAATAAATCTAGGCCTTTTTCATTGAAGCCCCCGTTCAGGCGTATGTACAGGCATCATGTAATAAAAGGAAGGCGAAATTCACTTCTCTAATAATTGTAAGCTTGCCTATAAAATTTACTTTTTGCCACCTCTAGGTAGTAAAAGTGAGTTAAACCTTTACTTTTCTGACTGGAGGTTATTAACCTATAGAGTCGAAGGCAGCAGAGCCATAGGATAGGAGGACAGCTCAACTCCAAGTGGAGAAGTGTTTGGGCTTGAAATATGATCAAAAGGAGGGGAATTGGAGTAGTCAGATATCCCTAAGTGGGGCTTTTTCCTGGAAAGGCCTTGTAGATGGACTGCACAATATCCAGAGGATTACTTCGGAGAGCGTTCTGGATATTTTTCCCCTGTAAATGAACAGCATTTTTCTGACTGTCAAACATGACTACTGTTCACGCAGATTCCCTGAGTTGGGTCCTTCACAATCACATAAGGAGCCCTTTTAAAAGCGTCTAGAAACTCAACTCTCTTCTTGTCCTCTGTTCTTGCTGTCTCTTCCAGTGTTTAGTTGGGGCTACTTTCAGCATTTGTGCATTCAGGGCAGATAACCAACTTGTGGGGCAAAGCAAGTCACTTTCTCTAAGTCAGCAGCTGGTCCCCCCTAAACCACCATTTCTCCCATTTCTGAGTGGAGGTTGGAAATATTGTTCCACTATAAGGCAGCTAGGGGCAAGGAGAGGAGGGAAAATGTGGAGGAGCCAGGTGGTGGATGGAAGCTTCACAATACCTCCCTTTTTTGAGTGGAGTTTAAACAGAGGAGTTTTATAAGCGCTTCTCATACTTTGTCATGAGGACAAGCAGGAGAGAAAAGGCATCTGTGTGCTTCGGACTATGTATTGCTGACATGCTTTTGGGGCCCTACCTCAAGAGCTCGTGTAAATCTTGAACGCACATCTCTCCCCCCCTCTGCAGGTCGCTAGGTATGAATAACCCTGTTCAGATGTCAGAAGTATATATCATAGGAGCGCAGCCTCTGTGTAGCCAACTGGCGGGACTTTCTCAAGGACAGAAGAAACTGTGCCACTTGTATCAGGACCACATGCAGTACATTGGAGAAGGCGCGAAGACTGGCATCAAAGAATGCCAGTACCAATTCCGACATCGCCGGTGGAACTGCAGCACTGTGGATAACACCTCTGTCTTTGGCAGGGTTATGCAGATAGGTAGGAAGCCACTTAAAATCTATGGATTTCTTCCCCCCAGAAAAAGTGCTCAGTGTTTGCTTGCATGCTTGATGGGTAAGGTACCTACCAGGCTGTGTGATGTGTTGGGAATTTTTGTCATTGTAGGAACTGTTAATTGTGGTCCCTACGTGTGATTATGAATTTTGGGCTTTTCTAACCGAATCAGGAGGAGCATCAGAGACACCTTAATCTTTCCAAACACATACTTTTTCTAAAATGTATTTTGTTTAAAGCAGCAGCAGAATACTCATTTTGGTTTCTCAAAAGTAAATGTGGAAGGCTGAGTCATTTAGATCCTTTTAGACTTGAATGCTGTTATAAATTTCTTAAGCTACAATTCAAAGAACCCTAACATCCAGCTAAAAATTGTCATCTTTCAGAATGCTGCATATGTTAGCAGCGAACGAGATTTTCATTTTCTTACTCTAGATACTTCTTAAGGATGCAATGATATATTTTGAGTCCCTGAAAAATTTTAATTAGAAGTGATCTCATTTATGTATTTGATTTTGACAGTTGACAGAAAAACATATGCTTGAGCTCTCAACCTAGAGACCTAGAAAATGTTTCAAATGTACTGCTTACAGTTTGAAATTTAATTTTAAATATGTTGTTGATCTTGTTATTCCATTCAGGGAGACGAGCACTGAAATTATTGGGCTAAAGGCAAAACTTTAAAAAAACTCATTGGCCTCTGGTTTGGTTTCATAGTTAAGGGCTGTTTGACAGATGTAGTCCTACATGCATTTTCTGGTGTATTTCAGGTCTCTGTATTTTTATGCAAATAAGTCTTATGATTAATATGGCTCTAGTCATATTATAATAAGAAATAATTTATCAAAGCAATTAACTGTTTATATTGATTGAAGATAAAAAATTGGCCTAGTATCCATCACTGATGGATAAAATACTTTTTCTAAAAACACTGAAAAGTGCATTCATTGAGAACAAAAAAGACTTGTCAGTGGACGTTTGAGCCAGGGGGCTTCATAAACTAAACTGATTCAGGATTTGAAACCGTTCCTCTAACTGAATGGGAAAATGGCCTGTGGCCCCATCCTGCAGGTTTCCTAGAGCTTTGTCCTTTCTGTTAATGATTAAAATGTGCTAATGTACATACTGGGATCGGAGTGGAGGGGCCAGGCTTCAGGAGGACAAGACGGTCCCTGCATACGGATTGTCTGGCTTCTGGAGTCAACAGCGTTTTTAGTGGAGACTTAATTCTCCTACATTCTGGTCTTGTTGCGGAACTAAAGGCATTTTTTTGAAGAAAAAAAAAAAAAAGAACTCTATCAGGATTGGCTAGTCAGCTTTTCCCTTTCTTACATGCCCTTCTTCAACTGTACCTCACAGAACTCTGGAGCCACTTTTATACAGGGACACACGTTAGCAAAAATCATACACCTCTGATGTTAACCAGAAGGAAAAGCACTGTTGGAGCTGTTTTTCTGTGTAGCCACTCGAACACAGCTTTGATTTAACATCTTCTTCTCATCTTCATAGATGGCCTGTTTAGGGTCAAAATGTTCAGAATAAGCTATCATTTGCTAAATGAATTTGAGTTCTGCTGGAGATTTATTTTAAATGTGGTCCAAGATTCAAAGAGTCTGTTTTCCCAGAAAAATTCTTATGCAAAAGCCTGTATTTAATTGTCCCAGGAAAGTACACTATGGGTCATGGGGTAGGTGGCACTTCTGTCTGTATTGATGGGGTGTGGGTAGGAGGGTGCCCCCACAGTCTCTGAGGGGCCTCCTGGAAGTTTTGGGTGAGTCAGCAGCTGTCCTGGGAGCGATCAACAGGACCAAGGCCAGCAAGGCCCTGTAAAACCTGCTGCTGGGTGGCTTGTGATGGGACACTGAGGAGGTCTCTCTTGCTTATTTGGAAGAAGGGATGGAAAGCAGGCAAACTAGATTTTTATAGAAGAGGAACAAAGACCCAACTCCAATAGTGAGGGAAAGTCATCAGGAAATCTTTGAGGAGAACGAGCTAAGGGACAATTGTAAATGCTTTTGATACCCAAAGATGTATATGTGCCCAGCCCAAGCATGTAGGACCCCAAAGACGCTGAGAGTAATTCTTATCTGTCAGAATCTGACCCTGAAAGAGGCCAAGGTCTGAGAAACTCAGCTGGCACCTCCAGCCCCCGCCTCAGCTCATTTTCCCAAGGTGCCAGTTGCCTCGGAGGCACCATACACAATTGTCTCATGAGGGGCCTGCTCTTCGTTTTGGAAACTTGCTCATTTTTCATCACGCTACCCTTTCCTTCTAGCTTTTGTGCCTGGCTTGTCTTTGTTTCCACACTGTGAAAAGATGTCAGGAAGGCACCATTTTTAAGGGGCGGAGGATCCAAGTAAATGTGGATTTACACAGAGGAAGCCCAAGTGAGGCAACTGCATCCACAGGCTGGTAGCCAGAGAGCACTTTTCAAACTGACGTCTTCTTGCTTCAGTAACCAGTTAGCTTAGACCGTTCTTCCAGGTTTGTATTCTGTGACAAAGAGGGAAATGCCGAATGTAGACCATGAAAGAAGCAGCATTATCTGTGTTTTGTATGAAAGCCTTCTATGCTCTGCATACTCCGAGGACAGTGTCTCATTTCCTTCTGTCCCCAGAGATCATTTTATCTCCTCTTTTTCTAGCCACAACTTCTTTATTCTACAAGTCTTTCCATGTTATCAGTGTTAATCCTAAGATAATTCTCTAGGATCTTTCTGCTCTCCTCATTTGTTTGCATTTTCCTGACTCATTTGAGCTAGATAAACGGAATGCCCCGAAGGAACTTTCTGGATCTTCCTGCCAGCCACCAGTGTACTCAAGTTATTCATTTTTAAAATATGGGATGGGGAGGGTCTGCGGTGAGTCAGAACCACTGCTAGTGCTGGGGGGGCGGTCACAGAGGGCCTGACTAAGGTGTGGGCCAGAGGAGCCCACAGAAAGGCTGGTGTGTGGGTCCTTGGCTCAGCGTGGCCACCCTCCTGCAGCACAAGCCTTCTGTTTGGGGCCAGTCCTGTTGTCAGCTGCCTCCAACCCCAATGTTAGTAAGCTCACCAAGTAAGCTGAGGAGAAACTGATTCCAGTATAGGGATTTCAGCTCCAGAAGGGACCTCTTTTGGGTAGGCGTTTATTTCAGTACCCTTACTTTACAGTTGAGGAAACTGAGGGTCCCCTTATTCCACCCCCAGGCTCAGCTTCAGCTGGCTGTTAACCCCTTCTGTCTCATAGCATGACAGTTTTTTTTATCAAGTGGCTTCTTATTACATGTACCAGAGTTCTATATGCAAGTGGAATTTAAAGCCGGCTCTGATCACCTGCAGTTTTCTCCTTACAAATAGGGCACCTAGAACTGTTATAGGGAGATACTCTTTGCCAATATCGAGGAAGAAGAAAATTCTTTCCCTCTAGTTTTGTTTTCACCTTCTTGGCGTCATTTTAATACTTTGCGGCAAAGTCTGTGGGTCAGGGTGCTGGTGGGTGGGCTGGGCCAGGGTGGAGGAGCAGGGTGGTGGCAGCACAGGCATTAAAGACCAGGGGGCCGTTTGAAGAGTGGACACTCATAGTCTTGCATGAGAAGTACTTGTCCAGTTAGCTTGGAATGTATGAAAAAGCGCACGTCGTTGAGGCCTCTCAGTGAACAGGTTAGAACTGTCCCAAGGGAAAGGCAAGGGCCTGTGCCGAGACAGACTGTGCCGCGTGATGGCAGAGGAAGGAGAGGTTACAACAGCCAGAGGAGGAGGGGCGTGCCAGGCCCAAGCTAGCGTGGCCAGCACCAGTGTGGTCAGGGCAGGGGCTGGCTTAGATTGCAACCCTATGAGTTTCAGAGGCACTAAGCCTAGAAAATTCCATGCTCCTCCTGCTCAGAATGAAAATAATATCAAATCTTAGAAGAAGAGTAAAGACAGCTACCCCGATTCTGAGCTTTCCTTCAAAAGAGCTGCAGAGAAAAAGCAATCTAGGGCTGCCAGAGACCTGCCTTAGGCCCAGAAATGTGAGAGTGAAGACACCAAGCGTCTGCTTCTCTGTGATTTGTTGCTGGTGTGGCTACTGGCAGGGTGGGTCCTTGCCTGGGTGTACGTGAGGGGTGGTGCCCATGGGAGCGGCCGGTTTGAGCTCTTCCTGCCTGCTCTCCTGCTGGGGCTGGGGCTGGGACTGCAGTACACCAGGGCTCTCCCAGTCCCCCTGCCTCAGGTGTACCCCAGAAGCTCCCTCTGCTACGCCAGGGACTCACCCTGCCCACCTGAGGGCCTAGAGACGCCATGGCACGAGTGGGGCCAGAGGTTCTCCAGCGCCCCTTCCCCAGGCTCCTCCCTTGGGGGACAAACCGGAAGTGCCTGGGGCTCTCCAGGGCGGCCGGGGCTGGTGCGCGATGGGCTCCCCCGCACCTCTGCCGGCCAGTGACCCCAGTCCTCGCCCTCCCGCCCGCCCGCTTGTCCGCAGGCAGCCGCGAGACCGCCTTCACCTACGCCGTGAGCGCCGCGGGCGTGGTGAACGCCATGAGCCGCGCGTGCCGCGAGGGCGAACTGTCCACCTGCGGCTGCAGCCGCGCTGCGCGCCCCAAGGACCTGCCGCGGGACTGGCTGTGGGGCGGCTGCGGCGACAACATCGACTACGGCTACCGCTTCGCCAAGGAGTTCGTGGACGCGCGCGAGCGGGAGCGCATCCACGCCAAGGGCTCCTACGAGAGCGCGCGCATCCTCATGAATCTGCACAACAACGAGGCGGGTCGCAGGGTGAGTGCGCCCTCCGCCCGCAGCCCTTCCGGCCGGCCTCTGCCCGGCTTCCTTCCGCCTCTCTTCCTGCTTTTCCTTTTCCTGCCTTAAAATATTCTCCCGCCCCATTTCAGCCTCTTCCTCTCTCTTCCCTCCCTCCGGTACCCTCCCTCTTCTGTCTCCTGTCTGCCCATCTCTTCCCAGGGCCCTGTCTGCACAGGGACGGATGCGCCCCAGGAAGCCCACCCAGGCCTGAGTCGCCCTCCTGGAGCTCAGCCCGGGTGCCTGAGGAAGGTCCGGCCCTGGCCTTTTAGCCTGTGCCGGTGCTGCTGGCTCTCGGAGCCCAGAAACACACATTGCAGGGCTCGCAGCTCTCTCCTTGCTATGGAAAATGCTTCTTCTGGGGGTGTTTTCCCAAATTGTGAGAGTTCATCTGTATCCTACTAGGAGCCCTGCTATGAGGGACCTTTTCCCTTTGCACTCCAGATGTCATCGGGTCTGACAGATTGAGGGTTTTAAAAAGGGATTTTCTAAGAAAACAACAGCATTTTTTACCAGTGAGGAATTTTATAGGTCTGACCATGGGGCCAGGGATCTCTGGGGAGGAGAGGCCCGCACCCAGCCCTGCGAGTCTCCAGGGTCCCCTCTTTCCTTCCCTTGGCCAGGATATGAGAAGCTACCCCCTAGTAGTTAAAAAACCCCCCCCCCCCCTTTTCCTACGGTTCAACACATGGCATTTTATGGCTGCTTTAAAATGAAGGGGTGAAAACTTAAGTTTGGCAGCCCTGAAAACCAGGGAGATTATTTTTTCACAGAACCCAAGGTAGGTGCCAGGAATTTTCTGGTCAGGACTTTCACTGTTCTGTGTTTTGGGGTGAGGGAAAAAGGAAAATAATCACAGAGTAGGCCAGAGAGGACTAGAAAGAACCATAGGCCTTTTGGCCCTGTACCCACATTTCAAAGATTGGGAAACTGAGGCCAAGAGAAGACCTCCGTTGTCTGAGGAAGAGAAGGAATGAATTGAAATACAAGTCTGTGACACTCGTGCTACGCAGACTAGCGGTGAAGAGCTAGAGGTTTGGGCCTGAGAGAAGGGAGGGTTGAAATCCACCTCTCAGTGTTCCTGTGGGTTTCCGGGCCTCAGTTTCCACATTTACATGTATCAGTCAGTAACCGTGACAGGAGTTCTCAGTTGGGGTCACAGCAAGGACCAAGAGATCATAGAGAGGTTTGAGCCATAGGAATTCACCAGTACTAGACTATACCTAACCTACAGAATAATATTTGAAACACTCTGAGGTTTTGGGTTAGTGTCGGCCAGCAGTAAGTCCGGATAAATGATAATGATTAAACATGATGTAAAGGATGTGGAAGTCACCGATCATGTAGATGATTTCAGAGAACTCATCTGCTCCTCAGATTTGATATTAAATACTTGAGGGTGACAAGGAAATATTAACCTGCCAAATTTTGCTTGCGCTACTGTGAGGCCTCAGATGATGGCTGCGGCTTAGCTGTGTGTGGGCTTTCTCTTTCCCAGGTTGCTCCTGCTGTGGTGCTTGCAGCGTGGATTGACTCTCTGGACAGTGGCTGTCTCTGAGCCACGTGTTAGGGGGTCACAGGTCAGATCCATAAGAGCTGGCTCCCACCCTGGTCAGCGACACAGGTCTCCAGGACAACAGCGTGCTGATTCTTCTGGTTCGCATCCAGTGCTGTGCCCATAGCCCTGCCTTCTGTCATCATTAGTACTTTCTGAACACTTCTGTGCTTGGCAGGTCATCAGGGCCTTGACACCCAAGGAGAGAGGGTGAAGGGAATCTAAGTGGTGAGAGGGGATTTGGGAGAATTTGCAGCGTACTCCTGATATTATCAATTCACTTAATATCTGCATTGGAGCAGAGAGCTAAGCGTTGGGCCCTCGAGGCTGAGGTTACAGAGAAGACAGCTTTTCTCTGGGATGGTGGGGGTAGTGGTGGGAAGTGGGCCCTTTGCCAGGAAATCATATTAGAATTTCTTCAGGGCATTAGCTTTTTATTTTCCTCAAAGGGGAGCAGAGGTTAAATATGTTTGCAGAACCTTCCTCAGACTAGTGGAGAGCTTGAAAGTCTTGATGCCGAAAGAGTATACTTTGGCCTCTTTGAAAAGAAAGCCCTTATGGATCCCTGGAGGGAGAAGGTAACTGTTTGGGTGGATGCGGCCTCCAGGTTCTTGACAGGTCCTGGCCAGCACACCTGCCCCACGCGAACTCCGGAAGGTTGCTGGCCCGGGAGCTGCGGGCAGTAGGGGTATAAATAGGCAACCACGACCTCCCGGACTGCTAGGCCCAGTGCTATGGGGCCAGACCCACAGGAACTGCCACTGGGAGGCCGTCGCTACTGGGCAGCTACCCAGACACCATGCCCCCTTTACTTGGGCAAAGACCAGACTTACTGAGTGAGCCTTGGTGCCAAGCACTTTCCATGCCCCTCCTAATTGTAGCCTAATGGTGCTGAGGGATTGGTACCCGCTCCCTTTACAGAGGGAAATGGAAGCCTAGGAAGATGCAGCCAGTTTTCTAAATGCAGGAGCAGAGGCAGGAGCCGAATCCATATCTGCCTGGTTCCAGGGCAAGTGCTCTTGGCCAAAGGAGGCCATCAGCAAGGCAGGGGCTAAGCAGGAAGCAGAAGTGAGGGCCACTGAGATCCAGTTTCCCTGCAGTCTGGCTGCATGTTTTGTGCAGACCACCTGCCCTCTCTGTGTCCCTGTACCATCTTCTAAACCAGTCCATATAAAGCTGCTGGAATAATTCAGGGAGAGCAAGAGTGAAATGGCCTTAGTGCAGCTAGTAGCACTCAGCAGTAAGCAGCAGGAGAAAGATTTGAACCCTCATCTCCCTGGGGCTGGACCCTCTCCCCAGCTCTACACTCACCAGCCGGGCACAGGTTTAGAGACCAAGTACTTGAGCTTAAATCCTGGTATCCCACTTTGCAGTGGTTAGAGTAGGGATCCATCGCTCTGGGCCTCACTTTCTTTGTCAAGTGGGGATGCTAATAGCATGACCTTCATAGTCTGGCCACAGGAAAGAAAGTGCGGACAGCACCTGGGATGTGTATTCATGGGCTTCTGCTGGTGTTTCCCTGTTAACGAAGAGACAACCTTCTGCAATGCTGTATTTTTCTCCTGTCCCCATCTGAAAACTGCAGCGTGGTTGATGATACAGTGAGCGGCTAGAAGTATATTTACTCTGTACACTTTTTAAAGAGGGCAACACAGTACACAACTTCTGGTAGTGGCGAGTGCAATAAAACAGCCCCTTATTCAGCCGGTGGTCTCCATGGAGAAGATGGACAGGAGATTTGTTAATGTAGCCCACGCCGGCATCTGGGGTCCTCCTCGAGTTTGCCTAAGAGTTTGCCTGCTGACTATCCCTGTTTCCCTGCAGACGGTGTACAACCTGGCCGACGTGGCCTGCAAATGCCACGGGGTTTCCGGCTCCTGCAGCCTCAAGACGTGCTGGCTGCAGCTGGCGGACTTCCGCAAGGTGGGCGACGCGCTGAAGGAGAAGTACGACAGCGCCGCGGCCATGAGGCTCAACAGCCGGGGCAAGTTGGTGCAGGTCAACAGCCGCTTCAACTCGCCCACCACGCAGGACCTGGTCTACATCGACCCCAGCCCTGACTACTGCGTGCGCAACGAGAGCACGGGCTCCCTGGGCACACAAGGCCGCCTGTGCAACAAGACATCGGAGGGGATGGATGGCTGCGAGCTGATGTGCTGCGGCCGTGGCTACGACCAGTTCAAGACGGTGCAGACGGAGCGCTGCCACTGCAAGTTCCACTGGTGCTGCTACGTCAAGTGCAAGAAGTGCACTGAGATTGTGGACCAGTTTGTGTGCAAGTAGTGGGTGCCGACCTGTCGCCCAGCCCCACGCCCAGGACCCACTTATTTATAGAAAGTACAGTGATTCTGGTTCTTCTTTTTTTAAAAAAAAATATTTTTTATTTTTCCTCAAGAATTGCAACCGGAACCATATTTTTTTTTCTGTTACCATCTAAGAACTCTGTGGTTTATTATTAATATTATAATTATTATTTGGCAATAATGGGGGTGGGAACCAAGAAAAGTATTTATTTTGTGGATCTTTGACAAGGTAATGATACAAGGCTTCTTCCGATAGGGTAGGGTGAGAGGGAGGTAACGCTTACCCTAACCTGGCTGTGGGGATGCAGTACACATCTAGAAGGCAAAAGTAATGCCTACTGTTCCTAGTTCCATAGTTGTCTGGGGTGGGTTGGATCCAGCCGGAGCAGAGCGCTACAAACGTGTGTGTGTGGTTCAGTTTCTGTGACTAAAATGAATTACAAATGCGCTGGTGCAAGAGCAAAGTTCTCGAGAAAACCAAATAAAAAACGCAAAAAATGAGAGTGACCCAGTTTCCTAGGGGCCATCCATCAGCCTGCTCTTTCTATCTTCCATATTGTGATTTAAAATGTAAGAGCGAGCGTCTCGTAGTTGTGAAGAAGAACAGGTGCAGCGTGCGTCGCATTCTGGTCAGCTATCCCCTCTGCAGGTGATCTCTGCTAAGAGCTTTGAAACTTGGAGAGCAGTTAAATCAAAGCAGGGGAGTGGAAAAGGCCCCAAGAAACAGACAATTTGGCGTATCCTAGATGGAGTCGTGAAGGTGTCACCCCACGTGATGTGAATACCAGGCTTTTGTTTTTGAAGGCTGGGTTGAGTTGAATATGAACAGCGGTGTCTTGTCATTGTCTTAGAGACAGCCTTGCTTCATCAATCTAATGGAGATAAGGTGCGAGTTCTATTCGCAGCTCTTCAGCCCAGACCTCAAGATGGTTGCATGCGGAGCAGAAAAACCGACTGAGGCGACTAAGGGAAACCCAGCCGCTCCTGTCCCCAAGGCCCTTCTGGTCCCTCTGGCCCCAATGTGCTGCTGGCTTCACTGGGTCCCCTTTGATTGTAGGACAGAAAATGAAACACGAGGAGTTCCGGGAACTAGTTTGCTACTTAGGGATTCGTTTCTAAATCTTTTACTTTAAGGCGCGGTAACTTCTTATAGTTCGATGACATTCCTTAGCTCACGGAGTCCACCACAGGGGTGTCGCAGTGTTTCACTGTTAGAATCCTGTGTTTAAACCCTCCATCCACTTGTGCTTTTCCTAGTATACTGCAGGTGCACCCTAAAACTGTTCCTAATATACTGGAACAGTTGCGTTTATGAGGGAGCAATGTGGTTTAATGGTGCCTGATATTTCCAGTCTTTTGTACATATCATATATATATATATACATATATAAATATAAATATAATTATATCTCAGTGCAGCCAAGATTTATATTTACAGTTTACTCTGGGCTTGTTTCTGTCTGGAGCATTGTTGTCCTTCACTGCAGCCCAGTCAGGAGTTTTCCAAATGTGTTTTGAGTCTTGTGTTTGGCCTGTGGCCCTGCTGGGATCGTACCCTGAGCACCAGGAAACTTGTCTCTGAGGGAGCTCGGTGGTCTGATTCGCTGATGTGCACGTTGGCTTGAAGGTTGCTTTCCTCTGTCCTGCCCGCATCTCCCCTCCAGCTTCCCTTTCTGTGTTCTCTGTGGAGAGGGCATTATTTGTGCGTCACTGACCCGGACGTTAGTAGATACAACCTAGCGGCATCTCGCTTTGCTTAGTGCGTTCCACAGAGTAGAAACGGGTTCCTGTCAGATCTGGCGGTACTTGTTTGAGTCTGGAAGGAAGAGCCAGCTCATTGAATAGATAGCTAGTTCTTTTTTTTTTTTTTTTTTTTTTTTTTTTTTTTTTTTTTTTACTAAGGACATCTCTTTCCCCACAGCGCTGTCAACTGTGTTTCTATCTCAGATGGTCATTGTTTTAAGGATCTGTCAAAATGCAGATCTCTGTGCCCTTCGTGGGCTCGGTGCCTTCACGCCACCTCAGCCAAGTAGTTCTTAATTTATTGCACAAGGATGTTCACATCCCCGCAGTTGCAGTGAATTGCAAGTAAAAGATCTTGAAATTAAAAAGCACTATTGAGTTTAAAATGTCACTTTTTTGGTTTTTATTCTACAAAAACCATGAAGTACTTTTTTTATTTGCTAAATCAGATTGTATTCCTTTTTAGTGATTCGTGTTTATGAACAGAGTTGAGTTTAACAATCCTAGCTTTTAAAAGAAACTATTTAATGTAAAATATTCTACGTGTCATTCAGATATTGTGTATATCTTCTATGGCCTTTATTCTGTACTTTTAATGTACATATTTTTGTCTTGTGTGATTTGTATATTTCACTGGTTTAAAAACAAACATTGAGAGGCTTTTGCTAATGGAAGATAGAATATAAAATAAAACATTACTTGTATATTGTTAAGTGGTTTCAGTTGTCCTTGAGATAATTCACATGGAGACTTCAAGAGACGTTGTGAGGGCTAGCTTAGGAAAGCTACATGCTAAAATAACAGGAGAGTGGAGAATTTTACAAAAACCAAGCTATTTGGAAGCTTCAAAGGGTTTCTATATGTAGCAGAACAAAAAAGGGAATTCTCTTTTCCTATATATGTTCCTAAAGAAAAAAGAACAAGTCAAGCAGATGGCCTAAAGCTGGGTGGAGGATGGCTCACATCTTTCAGCATTATGCACGAAACTTAATTGTGTTTGAGCGCGTTGCTGTGGTAGCACCCGGAGAGGAGCTGCGGAGGGGCGGACTTTCATTTCGTCCCCTGCACCCTGAAAAGTATCTTGGTGTTCACTCCTGCGCGCCTCTCTCTGAGTTCACTGTGGACCGCGTGTGGTGCGCTTCTGCACCTTGGAAAGCTGTTTTATGAAAAGCAAGCCCCAGTCCACAGAGCACGAAAACTTGGGAAACTGGAGGTTTGTTACGTTAAGTGCAATTCGTGGGAGTGCTCGTGCTTTCTGGAATGTTCACCGGGGCTGGCATCTGCACAGATCCATCTTTTAGTCCTTTGCTTTCCTCTTTCCGGATGACCTTGTAACGTATTGAAACCTCTTATGGATGCCAAGAATACATTATTTTTCAAAAAACCAGTAGATCAACATATAGAGTGTTTAAAATAGCATTTCTGGGCAAATTCAAACGCTGTGGTTCTAGGACTCACATCTGGTTCAGTTTTTCCCGAGTTGTATATTGACCAGTGTTCTTTATTGCAAAAACATATCCTAGATGTAGCAGCGTCAGCATATTTTCCTTCTCATCCTTGAGTGCATTCAGAAATCTTCCCAATATGGAAAATTAACCAAAAAATGAATACATCAGCAGCGACAAACAGAGCCATGTTCCAAATAACCATTATGGGCTCAAGGAAAAGAAAGGTTTTCTGCTCGAGTTCCGTTACCCTGTTTGGTTCTTTGAGCTCCTTGGCTGCCCGAGGCCGGCACTGGGGAGGTGTGAGCAGTCTCTGGCTCACGACTTTGCCACGCTCAGCTTTCAGGTGGTCTCTGCAAACTCAAGCAAGCCACTGGCATTAGCAGACATGCCGTGGTAGGAGGGTGCTAGGTCCTCCAATGGAAGACTGGTACCACCGGCTCCTGGGAGGTGATTTGCAAAAGCAGTCCCCAAAGACCAGGTGGCCCACAAAAGCAGTGGATGCAGAGCTAGAGCAGGTGCCTGGAACTTCAAGCACATATCAATGCAGAAAATCCTGCGTTAATGCTGTAAAGTATACATTAAAATATTTACTTTTTTAAAAAAGTATTTTCTAGTCTCCCCTCTGTCAGGTGGTAAAAGTGTCCGCTTCTAAAAATCAGATGAAACAATTTTAATTCAGGAAATATTCAGAGACACAGGAGTTGAGACTTAGAAATGAGATCTTATGACTTACCTATTGAAACACACTTCATGTTTACATCTGGTGATTTAATAGTGTTTTAGGGAAACATCTTGTTAACCCACTTTAAAACATGGATGCAGAGTAATTAAAGATCAGTATGATTTTTTTAAAAAAATGTGTCACTTGGAATCTAGAAGATCAAATGGAAATCCTGTCTCAGTATCTCAAAAGCAAAAAGAAATGGGGGAAAGTTGCAGTTTAGACCATTTTTATATGCAGTGTACAATTTGCTGGGCTAGAAATGAGAGAAAGATTATTTATTTTTATTCATATCTTGTGCTTTTCTATTAAAATCATTCCATGAAATCCAGTGCAGTCGTGTGTGTGTGTATGTGTGTGTGTTTGCCAGAGAGAGTTGCATATCAAGGTGTGTTGGGAGCTCGGATCACGGTCCAGGGATGGCAAAACTATGGCACATGTGCTGCGGCGGGCTCTCATATCACTGAAAGCTCTGGGCTGGGGAGATAGCTCAGTAGAATAAGCACTTGCCTGGCAAGTGCAGGGTCCTGAGCTCCATCCCTGGTACCACAAAAAAAAAAAAAAAAAAAAAAGAGAGAGAGAGAAAGTTCTAAAATATTCTCCATGACTGGCTTAAGGCATCCAGAAAAGACACCAGTATTTCAGGCCTGTAGACAATATTATGCTTCAATGTGAAGGATTTATTTTGTACTGCAGAGCTCGATTTCTTCCATCTACCACCAATTTTTCCATGTCTTGTTTGCCCTGCTGCTGTTCACCTGTAAGAGTTGCACTGGGAGGTTATACCGCAGGTAGACAGCTCATGCAGAGAGGTGGGATTGCCGCACAATTCTAGGGTGAGAGCAGACAGAATGGTCAGAGCAGAAAAAAAGTAGGGAGTGTTTGGGATACAAAATAGACTGGGTCACCTGGAGTATTCTGCTTGTTGCCTTTTGCATTTTGCTGTGGTTGCCAGTGAGTTTCTTAGATCAGAATTCTGTATCTTGGTGCCATTGACATTTTAGGCAGAACCACACTTTGTTCCAGGAACTTGTCCTGTGTGGTGTATATCAAGGTCCCGGCATGGGCTCATTCGATGTCAGTGTCACTTGTTCTACTTGTGATGGCCCAAAATATCTCTGGGTATCACCTAATATGCCTCGGGGAATGAATCCTCCCCCATCTCCCCAGATGAAAGCCTGGGCTTCAGATGGAGGGGCTGAGGGGTTTGGAGCATGTGGAGAGTCCAGGCTGACCTAGCAGGGGACTGATTGCCTGGCAAGGGTGAGACCTCCCTTGTGAGTGTCACAGGGTAGGGCTTGGAGATCTAGTATTGTTTCTGGAATGAACTGGCTTAGAAGCAAAGAATGTAGGTTCTGGGGCCAGGTGCTTTGGGTCCGATGCCAGTACTGCCCCTCACCTCCCTGTTCCCTAGTGAAGGTGGCAAAACCTCTTTGTGCCCAGAACCCTTGGGCTTTATAATGAGAGCCTCTGCTTGTGTCTTAAGGTTGTTGTGAACGTGAATAGGTGTTTTGAGCAGGTGTTACTATGCATGAAGAGTCCAATAAACTAGCTAGGAGAGGAACAGGGTAAGGAGAGGGACATCAGATGAACCCGAGGGCTCCGCAGAGACAGTGTGGCCGAGCTGTTGAACATGTTCAGCACAGTTGGCTTGCTGGGAGGAAGGCACCCGTGGGAGGCTGTAAACTTGTGTCCTGCCTTCTCCATCTTCCTTCCAAGACATCCAGATGTGCTGTCCTTGGTTTGCGTAGCAATGAAAATAAAACACTCAAACTAGCTGCCAATGTTTAAATGAGGAGTACAGTATTTTCACATTAACATTTGTGCCTCTGGATTGAAAAATGGGAAGAGCTGGCCACTTAAGTGTGTGTGTTCCGAGTCTCCTGGAGCAGTAACCAGCTGGATCCAGCAGCCTCTGTTCCCTTTTGGATAGGGCTGGGCATCTGCGCTTAGTCCTTTATGTCACCTAACTTGGCCCCTACAAGCTTTTGCATTTGTGTGGCCCCTCAGTTTGGGTTGATATTTAAATGGCATGACTTAACTCTTGAAGACTAGCTCCAGAGCCAAACAATAGCAGCAACTTAATAAAAGGTAGAATTAGCTTGCAAAACAAAGGCAGTAAATCAGCCTAAATTTTCCTGGCCACATAGCCAAATTAATACGAGCTCCAAGCTTCAGCTCCTTGTTGAGCTGCAGCTTCTAAAGAGCCATCACTCACAGACCCGGAGAAGCTCAAGAAGAAGCAATTCGTGGCCAAACAAGTTGGAGAGCCGGTGAGTGATGGCTCAGGGCCCTGCTGAGAGATGGAGGAAGCTCATTAGCATATTGGCAGCTCTATAATCAGAGTAGCAGGAAGGAACCTGCTGGCGCACCTGGCACTCGTGGCACCTGTTGCCTCCCTCTGGGTGAGTTGGGAAGCGTGCAGGCGGCCTCTCTCTGGCTGTGCTCTTGAAATCTAGCGTGATGTGGGCTGGTGCTGGCAGGGAGGGCTCCCCGCAATATGCTGGGGCCCCCTGAGGGGGTGGTGATCCCCTTCCCAACCTGGGAGGTGAGATGGGGAAGCCAGTGCTCTGGGAGGTACCAGAAGAGGTCCTGAGACAGGGATCAAAGCACGGCCAGAGGAAGAAAGAGGAGAAAAGTAGGAGGAGAGTGGAAATAGGAGAAACAGGAAGTATACAATGCAGAGGGGGCAAATACGGGAAGAGAAGAGCCAGCTGTCCTTTGACCACCACCTGCAGACAAATCTCAACTGTACTAGCTAAAATAAATAAATAAATAAATAAATAAATAAATGTGTTCTGGGCAAGTAATATTAGACAAGTGCTTGTTCCTGCCTGGCCCTTGCTAAGGGTTTTATCTTTCATCCCGCTTTAGAGAGATTCTCAAGAATCTTCTGAGATGGTTCTTTGACCCTCATTTTGTAGATGGCGAAATGGACAGGTGGAGAGCTGAAGT